TTCGAGTAGATGTAGACACATTATACGTAGAATTCTGTTGTGGGTAGGCAGGGGTAATTATGGGCATAAGATGATATCTATCTGATGGATTTACCTGTGAAATCAGAAGTAGAATAATTATCTATTCCTCTAATTGAGTAGTCCTCACTTCATTTCCCCCAAAGTCTGAAGAATATGAAATACAAATTTAATACTAAATTCCTTCAATTTTAGGAGTGCATTTCTCTCCTGAACTGCACTTCTTTCTGAAGACAGATATATTTCTCAAAACTCTGCAGAAATTAATTTTTCCTCAGCAAAGCTATCAAATAATGTATCTTATAAGCAAGTCTTTCAGAATTATGGAAATACAATATCGTAACTACAGAGACATTATCGTCAATTATATAGAGAAATGAATGCTTACTCTTATTAAATTGGAATTTAAAAATTAAAATGGAAGCTATGTGAGAATTATGAATCTGCTTTAAACTGTACTGCAAAGTATTATTTTTATATATTTCAGTACTTCATTATAAGTAGCTACTGTGACACAGTTGTTTTTTTTTTTTTTTAACAATGGGTTATGATACTGTTTTTGATATACCCACTTATCTGGTCATATATGGTCAATTTTTAATGATATAATATTTGGATGAGTATTAGAAATTCAAACCACCTGCATCAAAATACACAGCAAAGGGAAGAAAAGAGCTATTTCTGCATAAGAAAGGTATGCAGGAAACACAGGAATAATCCTTAGTGAGACTATGATTAGAGAAAGGCCCTTCTCTATAGCAAATTCTCATACCCGAGGATCCCAGACAGGCAAATTCAAGTTGCTTTCTTCTGGTTGCTTCAACAGCACAGGATTTGGCCATTCCCTAGCATGAATAAAGTACATTAACTCATATAGACTCTCACTTCCAATGCTATATAAAATATTAAAAGTATCAAGCTGTCCTAATCTTCACGTGGCAAAGTACAAAATACAAGAGGAAGAATCTGTTTATTTGCCCTTTCTCAGAAATGGCAACAGCTCTGTTAGTTGGAAGCAATTTATACCTGAATTTGTCCCTTCCTTCTTATCTGTTTTCACCGATTTGATTCTGATGGTATAATAACAGCAATAAGTAACATTTGCTGAAAATACTAGTACATGAACAAAGCAGCTACCATTATCATCTCCATTTTACCAGACCAGCTTAATGTACAAAACCAAAAAATCTGTGGGGCCATTACAGTCTTAAGGCTCACATTCACAAACTCCTCAAGTGCCGTCTTACTGAGTTATTTAAAAGGGGAATGGGGTTACAAGCACTGACTGCTCAACCAGAGGACCCAGGCTCAATTCCCAGGATCCACACGGAAGGCTCACAATTGTCTATAACTCCTGTTCCAGGGGATCTGATGCCCTCTTCTGACCTCTACAGGCAACAGGCACACAAGTGGTAAACAGACACATGCAGGTAAAACATACACCCATCCATATACATAAAATAAAATCAAAAAAGGAAAAAAAAGGAGGCAAAACTAGGTGTGGTGGAATACAACTGTGAATTCAGTACTTGGAAAGTTGAGGCAAGAAGAATGCAAATCGTATACAAGCCTGGGCTACAAAGTGAAACCTTTTCCCAAAACATTGGTAGAGGTGGGGAGACAAAATTATGTCACTTGTGATAACATGGATGGTATTGGAGGTCATTACATTAACTGAAATAGACAAGGCACAGAAAATCCTTCAGGATCTCACTCATCTGAGGAATCTAAAAATGTCGATCTCATAGAAGGTGAAAGTAGAATAATAATTAGCAGAGACTAGGAGAGCAGGGTAGAGAAGTGGATATTAAATCAGAGAAGAGAAGTTTTGGTGTTCTATGGTACCGTAGGGTGATTACAGATAATGTTAGTTGTACTTTGAACTTCAACAAGCTAAAAGACTGTGTTTACCATAGAGAAATGATAGTTTCAGGAGGTACACATGCTAACCTTGATCTGATTACCTATCAAAAGAGCCGGGTGGTGGTGAAAGAGGCAGGGGGATTTCTGTGAGTTCAAGGCCAGCCTGGTCTACACAGCAAGTTCCAGGAAAAGCTCCAAAGCTACACAGAGAAACCCTGTCTTAAAAAACCGAACCAAACAAACAAGCCACAAAATATCATGGGCACCTCATAAATATATACAACTTTTATATTTAAATTAGAAAAAGAGAAGAGTGTCATCTGGGTGTTCCATTGTCTCAGATTAAATATATTTTTAAAGCTTTTAATGAATGCAAAACAAAATATATGTGCATAGGTTTATTTTTCTTGAAACAGGGTCTCTCTCGACTAGAACGGATTATGGAGCCCACTGTCCTCAAATTTATGGCACTATTCCTGCCTAGAGCTCTCAAGTGCTAGGATTACAGGTATGAGGCACTATGCCTGGCTACAGTTCTTAGACTTTTTTTTTTTTTTTTACATATTCATAGACGTTAACAATTAGTTAAAGTATATACTTACCATTTGGAAAAAACTAAAAAAAACTTGTGAACTAAAGTTGAAGCTGCTGCATTTGGATACAGTTGGCAAGTTCTGGCAACTAGCATTGCCCAGGAGACTCCACCAAGAAATCCCAGCATATTGGAATAAATACCACGACCTATGAAAACAAAATCTGTTAATTATTATTCAGATCTATTATGCTTGAAATCCAAGAGGATAACTTCATTCATTCCCAAGACTGAACACAAAATGGAGATGATAAGCAGAACACCACGCTAGGCTGAGTCAGTCAGTTAACTGCTAGTTTCTCCTCCTAGCTCTTCTGCTTTGTCCTCTAGTGCACAACGGTTCAATTCTCTGTTTCACTGTCATTTGTCCTGACTGATCGCTGTGTGATATTTTGTTTGTGTTCTGACAAATAAAGCTTGCCTGGAGATCAGAAGGTGGAGCTAGCCACTAGTTAGCCATAGGAGCCAGACAGTAGTGACACACACCTCCCAGGACCTGGGAGGAGGAAGCAGGAAGATCAGGAGTTTAAGGCCACCCTGGGCTACATGAGATTGAAAAAGTCTAAAAGAGAAACAGAGCCAGGAGGTGGTGGTACATGCCTTTAATCCCAGCACTTGGGAGGCTCAAGCCTTTGATGCCAGCACTTGGGAGGCTCAAGCCTTTGATGTCAGCACTTGGGAGGCTCAAGCCTTTGATCCCAGCACTTGGGAGGCTCAAGCCTTTAATCCCAGCACTTGGGAGGCTCAAGCCTTTGATCCCAGCA